GGTCACATTTTACTGTGAATGAACTTTGATCTGTAACTGGCCAATCCATTCATCAGTGTGAATGACTGGTTATCATACTCTGTTTTGACTGGGGAGGTGTGGAGAGGAGGGCAGTGATAAGGCTTATGTTTCTTTTTTTGTTTTGTTTTGTTTTTTTTTTTTTTGACACGGAGTTTCGCTCTTGTTACCCAGGCTGGAGTGTGATGGCGCGATCTTGGCTCACCACAACCTCCACCTCCTGGGTTCAGGCAATTCTCCTGCCTCAGCCTCCTGAGTAGCTGGGATTACAGGCACGCGCCACCATGCCCAGCTAATTTTTTGTATTTTTAGTTTAGATGGGGTTTCACCATGTTGACCAGGATGGTCTCGATCTCTTGACCTCGTGATCCACCCACCTCGGCCTCCCAAAGTGCTGGGATTACAGGCTTGAGCCACCGTGCCCTGCCGGCTTATGTTAATACTGGTTACAAGCATAGCTTATCAGTGGCCTCCGTTTCCTCTTTGCATTCTCTGCTCCTAGCCAGAGTTTCAGGGAGCCCACCACAGTATCTGTTGAGTGAAAGAGAAGTGAAGAGAATTTGAGAAAGGATACAGGTATTTCTCTGCTGAGGGAGGAAGAACTCCCAAAAAGGAGCTTGGTAAGAGAGGATGCCTTGCAATTCTCCATCCCTTTAAAATGTTCTTACTGTCTCTGTGTGGTAGCTCATGCCTGTAATCCCAGTGCTTTGGGAGGTGGAAGAGGGAGGATTGCTTGAGGCCAGTAATTTGAGTCCAGCCTGGGCAACGCAGCAAGATCCCGTATCTATAAAAAATGGAAAAATTAACTGGGCATAGTAGTGTGCACCTGTGGTCCCAGTTACCCCAGGAATTTGAGGTGGAAGGATTGCTTGAGTTCAAGGCTGCAGTGAACTATGATTATGACTCTGCACTCTAGCAAAGCTGGCAGAGCAAGACCCTGGGTCTTAAAAAAAAATTAAATTTTAATTTTAAAATAAAATGTGTTTTTCCTACCCTTAGGCAGTTTTGCCCACAGAGTTTATATCAAAATCTTGTTTGCTTCTTTGTTTTTACAAAATTCAGTTCCCAGACATTGGTTAATTAAGATCTTATTGCCCTTATTTTTAATCTCATGCAGCTAGGCACTTAGTAAATGCTCAATAAATGTATGCCACTTTAGTCTCTTTACTTGGTAATTATGTTCCAGAAATAGCAGTACATTATTGAGCTGCATTATTACTTTGTATGGGCTTTTATGCCTCACAAACGCTTTATGGTTAACCAAAGAAAAGGAGAATTTTTATGTGATTTTTTTGGTTTTCTCTGAGCGTATTTTAAAAGTCTGTTTAAATGCATGTGAAAGAAAGATATTTGATTGAAGGGTTTTTCTTGGAAAAACAGGGGAAAACATTTTTTATAGGGTCTCGATCATTTCCCATAAATTTTATCACTGAACTATAGGAAGAAACAGCTGCGATTGATACTTTGGTCAACCACTAAGGGAGGGACCAGGTTTTGGATAAAGAATTTCTCTTCTCTCTCAAATCCTTGCTAGCTGAGATGAGGAGGCCTGCCATTGACTTATGGAGCAAAGGGCTTTTTGAAGTCTGAGCCTTTCCTGAGACTTGTGCTTTTAATGTTTCAGGCTGACTTGTTCTGGAAAACATGGATTGTATCTACTGAGAACACTGAACATGCTACTCACTATTTCTTAACTGTTCCAAATTAATTGTCACAGAGCCTCTATTTCTATTGTGATCCTTTTCAACCACTCCCCAAACCCTCCATACGGGTCAGGAAGTTAACTTTTGCTATGGAAAAATTGTTTTTAGGAAATCACATTTAAACAGTCAGAGAGAAGCTATCACAAAGTGATAGCAAGGATGACGAAGTCTGGCTCTGTGACTTTCAATCCCAGTGCCACCACTTGCTGGCTATGGGACCCTGAGCAAGCCAATTAGCCTATCTGAGCCTCAGTTTCTCATCTATGTATATGGGGCCAATAAGAGCACATGGTTCATTTGGGATTTTGTAAAGACTACGTGAGGGGATGTAAATAAAGCAGTCAGCCCCATGCCCAACACATAGGAAGCCTTCTGTGCATGTTGCAACAGTTCCTATCTATTATTGATCATCAACTGCACCACACTGGATGAAATGTTTAGGAAGATTATGTTTCCTTTTCTCTTTCTAAAACACAGGAGAATTAATGAACATGAAACACTGTGGCTGAAGGGTAATTTAGGAAAAAAAAGTATCTCTGGATCTCATCATTCTAAACCTCTAAGTTTTATCTGCACTTTTCTAAAACAACTGCTAAACCACTTGGCATTTCAGTTGTAGCATGATATGTAGTATTTTAAAAAGCAGAGAGGTTACCAAATGTGGGATTCAGTTACATATTTACATGTAATGTACAGAGAGAAACGCTCTGTTCTTTTTTAGAGGCTTGGTTATATTCCTGGTTTATAAATCTATTTCCTTTTCCCAGTCAAACCCAAGCACTTCACATTCCTGCAGAACTTCATGGTTATTGGTGTCTCTGTGGAAACAACCACCTAGGAAGTGGTATTTCCCAGCCTGTGAGCGTCACGTTCAGTTTTCTTGGCAAGATGAGAGGAGGGTGTTTCAGGTCCATAAACGCCGTAATTTCATCATGATCATCAGATAATAAGGATAATAACAGAGTTGTAAAACTTTAGAAGTTGAAGAACATTAGATCCCATTGAGGCACCTCCTCATTTTACAGATGAGTAAATACCTTATCCTTAAACCATATTTTAACGTCCTAAAGGGTTTTTACACAAATTCTATCATTTGCCTTCCCAGTAACCCTTTGAAGTAGTGAGAGAGTAGGTATTAGCTATCTGTCTTTGTAGATGAAGAAACGGAGGCTTTGGGAGAGTAAATGATCTCCTCACATTATGGAAGGACTCAGTCGATGGGCACATCTACAATTCCACCTTCCAATTGCCTTGACAGTTCTCTTCACTGCAGCCTAATACATTGCAGGACTTCAAGTGCCTACGGGGAACACAGATCTAGACTTCAGGTCTCCCAGGCTTGATACCTTTAGTCTTTAAAATCCTGTCATGTGCAGAATAAGATCCAAGTTCCTCAACATGGGACATGAGGCCCTCCTGCTTGTCCTTTGCCCCCCTTTCAGCCTCATCTTCTACCATGGCTAGTTTCCACTCTTTGCTCTAGACACTCTAGGTGCCTTGGTATTTTCAGTTCCCTCGGCTTGAAACGCCCTTCTAGCTCACTTTTTCACCCTAACCAATTTCCTTTAAGAATGAACTTGGGCCGGGCACAGTGGCTCAAGCCTGTAATCCCAGCACTTTGGGAGGCCGAGGCGGGTGGATCACGAGGTCAAGAGATCGAGACCATCCTGGTCAACATGGTGAAACCCCATCTCTACTAAAAATACAAAAAATTAGCTGGGCTTGGTGGTGCGTGCCTGTAATCCCAGCACTTTGGGAGGCCGAGGCGGGTGGATCACGAGGTCAAGAGATCGAGACCATCCTGGTCAACATGGTGAAACCCCATCTCTACTAAAAATACAAAAAATTAGCTGGGCTTGGTGGCGCGTGCCTGTAATCCCAGCACTTTGGGAGGCTGAGGCAGGAGAATTGCCTGAACCCAGGAGGCGGAGGTTGCGGTGAGCCGTGATCGCGCCATTGCACTCCAGCCTGGGTAACAAGAGCGAAACTCCGTCTCAAAAAAAAAAAAATGAACTTGGCCAGGTGCGGTGGCTCATACCTGTAATTCTAGCACTTTGGGAGGCTGAGGTGGGTAGATCACCTGAGGTCAGGAGTTCAAGACCAGCCTGGTACACATAGCAAAACCCCATCTCTACTAAAAACACAAAATTTAGCTGGGTGTGGTGGTGGGGGCGTGTAATCCCAGCTACATGGGAGGCTGAGGCAGGAGAATTGCCAGAACTTGGTGGGCAGAGGTTGCAGTGAGCTGAGATCGAACCATTGCACTCCAGCCTGGGAGAAAGAGGAAGACTCGGTCTCAAACAAAACAAAACAAAACAAAACAAAACAAAACAAAACAAAACTTGAGATACTCATCATTTTTTTTTTGACTCTTTTGTAATAACTCTTAGCTTAAAACATAAACACAGAGCCCCAGGGAGGGCCAGGAGCGTAAAGCAAAACAAGAAAAACACGAACCCATTGTACAGAAGTATAGGTGTCTTCTTTCTTTATATCCTTATTCTATAAGCTTTTTTTCTATTAAAAACAGAGTTTTAAAGCTTTTAAAGCTTTTATTTTGTTAAAAATGAAAACACAAACACACACATTGGCCTAGGCCTACGCAGGGTCAGGATTGTCAATGTCACTGTCCTCCATCTCCACATCTTGCCTCACTGGAAGGTCTTCTGTGGCAATACCATGCATGGAGCTGTCATCTCCTCTGATAACAATGCCTTCTTCTGGAATCCCTCCTGGAGAAACTGCCTAAGGCTGTTTTGCAGTTAACTTAAAAAAAAGAATAAGTAGAAGGAGTACATTCTAAAATAATAAAAAGTATAGTATAGTGAATACCTAAACCAGTAACATAGTCGTTTACTATATTATCAAGTCTTATGGTATCATGCACTGTACAGAAATGTATATGCCCTACTTTTATATGACCGGCAGCAAAGTAGGTTTGTTTACACCAGCATCACCAGAAACCCATGAGTAACGTGTTGTGCTAGATGTTAGGGCAGTTATGACATCACTAGCTGACAGGAATTTTCCAGCTCTATTATATCTTATGGGAGCACTGTCATATATGTGATTCATCACTGACTGCAGTCTTATTATGTGACACCTGACCGTATGACTTCACACAAACCTGATTGTTCCAGAAGGCCATTTTCTCCCAAGAGAGAATACCAAAGAGATGTGTAAATCTGAGAAGAGATGAGAGGCCATGTGGCTCCAGAGACTCCAAGAAGAAAATAAACTTAGGAAAGAGCTGTCATTGTTCTTGATAACTTACATTACCTGGTTCCATACTCTAGTAAAGCTTCCATGAACTATGCCTGTATAATCCACGAAGTCCCCCTCTGGCAGTGGTGTGCTGGTAAAACAGCTCTTAAAAAGCAAACAAACAACAAAGCCTTGATTTGTACTGCCTGCCAGTTTCCAAGATGTAAATACTCCCTCTATGACCTATTGTACGCTATTGTGACATCACTACATGCAGACATGTGTATACATACTCATCTTTCATGAGCTTGCAAGAGCAGGCTCTGGCACACCACTGCCTTAGGTTTAAGCTAAAGTGGGTGGGTTTCTGTTCCTTACAACCAAATGTTGTACTATATCACATTAAGACATCATTGATTGGCTGGTTTATTTATTACCAACAAAGAAAAACAACACTCTGCCCATTAAACTGTGATATAATGCTTTAAGGACACTTCTGTGTCATGTATGAAATTAGTGCCACCAGCCTTTGCTCATTTGATACTTCTCTGTGTATATTCCTCTGGGTTTGGCAGCTTTCCTGCCTTCATCTGTGTCTCTTAGTATATGACAGACAATTCTTTATTTATTTATTTTTTTTGGTATCTTAGTAACAAAATATAACATAGCTTCCTATACTTGTGGATATCTTCTCTTCTTTTTTTTTTTTTTAAGACAGAGTTTTGCTCTTGTTACCCAGGCTGGAGTGCAATGGCGCAATCTCGGCTCACCACAACCTCCGCCTCCTGGGTTCAGGCAATTCTCCTGCCTCAGCCTCTTGAGTAGCTGGGATTACAGGCACACGCCACCATGCCCAGCTAATTTTTTGTATTTTTAGTAGAGACGGGGTTTCACCATGTTGACCAGGATGGTCTCGATCTCTTGACCTCGTGATCCACCTGCCTCGGCCTCCCAAAGTGCTGGGATTACAGGCATGAGCCACCACGCCTGGCTATCTTCTCTTCTTAATGCTGTTAAAATACTTATGAGAAATACAGAATTCTGGTCATTCCTCCATAAATATCTGCTTTCTTAATATCCAGTGTAAGCCCCTTGATTTCCATACTTTTCTGTGTAAATAAGTATATATATATATATTTGCTGTAACACCAAATCATATGTAATGTCCTTAAGATATTTTAAATGGCAATTAAACTCGACTTGTGTAGTGCTAATGTTGCAAAGAACTCAAGTGAAGTGATGACAAAATGACCAAATTTACTTGTGCACAGGTAATGACAATGGCAAATCTCCATCGATTACGGGATAAATCCCAGTTTTAGAGATGTTACAATGTGGAAAAGAAAGTGCATCTCAGAATCAGTGAAATATGGTAATCTCTGCTATGGAAAATACCTTGGCTAAGCTGTCACCTCCACCAGGGAGCCTCCTACGAATCTTCTACTACTCCCTCTGAGTTGGGCTCAGCCCTCCACCTTGGGTTCCTGTAGCTTCCTTTGCATTTCTGTATCTTCCCACTTAGCATGTGGTGTCTTAATTATCTGTACCTAATTACAATGTACCTTGGAGAACCCTTTGGGTCCACAGTGCTTAGAACTGTGCCTGGCACATCACATTGGTCCTCAGTAAATGCTTGCTTAATGATTGACTTATGAATCTTAGGAGAGATGAACTGATCTTTCGCTTTCAGACCAGCAGTGTGCGCACTTTTGAGTAGGACAGCCCCTGTCTGTCCAGACCCTCTTCTGCAGCCAACCACTCTCAGACCACGCCTACCAATGACATTAAAACATTGAAGTCCACTGTTCCACTGTTTATACTCTCCCCCATAGCCTTCACCTTAGTTCAGGTTGCTATAACAAAAATAGCATAGAACCAGTGGCTTAAACAATACCAAAAAACAAACAAACAAACAAACAAACAAAACATTTTTCACAGTTCTGGAGGCTAGAAAGTCCAACATCAAGGTGCTGGCCGATTTGGTTCCTGGTGAGGGCTCTCTTCCTGGTTTGCAGAGGGCTGCCTTCTTGCTGTTTCGTGTGGCAGAGAAACAGATTCTTTCTCTCGTGTCTCTTCTTTTTGTTAAAAAAATTGATTATATGTTAATTGTACATATTCATATTTCTTCTTTTTGAGATAGGATCTCACTCTGTCACCCAGGCTGGAGGGCAGGATGTGATCAGGGCCCACTGCAGCCTCAACCTCCCAGACTCAAGTGACCCTCCCACCTTAGCTTTCCAAGTAGCTGGGACCACAGGCACATGCCACCACACCCAACTAACTTAATTTTTTTTTATTTTTTAATTTTTTATGGAGAGGAGGGTCTCACTATGTTTGCTCAAGCTGGTCTTCAAATCCTAGGCTTAGGCGATCCTCCCACCTCAGCCTCCCAAAGTGCTGGGATTCCAGGTATGAGTCACTGTGCCCAGCTCATGTCTTCATGTATCTTCCTTTTTTTTTTTTTTTTTTTTGAGACAGAGTCTAGCCCAGGCTGGAGTGCAGTGGTGCAATCTTGGCTCACTGCAACCCCTGCCTCCTCAGTTCAGGCGATTCTCCTGCCTCACCCTCCTGAGTAGCTGGGATTACAGGTGCCTGCTATCACACCCAGCTAATTTTTGTATTTTTGGTAGAGACAGGGTTTCACTGTGTGGCCAGGCTGGTCTTGAACTCCTGACCTCGTGATCTGCCTGCCTCGGCCTCCCAAAATGCTGAGATTACAAGTGTGAGCCATTGTGCCTGGCCTTGTGTCTCTTCTTATAAGGGCACTAATCCCATCACGAGGGCTTATCCTTCACAACCTGATTACCTCTCAAAGGCCCCACCTCCTAATAGCATCACATTGGGAATTAGAGCTTCAATTTACAGACTTTGTGGAGACACAAACATTTGGTACGCAGCACCCACGATGTGAGAAAACAAATCATATTAAAATTCTAGCAGGTAATGATAGCATTGCGAGGTACTCCTCCCAGATAGCTCAGGATATTTTAGGAGGAAGTTTGAATGAACTAACTCACAGAAAAGAGTCTTGGGAAGAATTGCAGGTGGCTGTGAGAAAATCTGGATCCCGCCTGCTATTTTGGTCCACCACTGAAATGGTTGCCTGGGTCTACTTTATGCTCTCATTTGGGGCCGCAATGTACTAAGTCAAGTTATGAGAAAATCCTAGATTGTCATGGGGCTTCTAATCTTCTCCTCTGGGCTCATTTCTTCCATTTTATAGGCTTGGGCAAGGGACCAGCATCCTGAAAATGCAGGTGGTCCTTCCCAGCCTGTGAGGGAGGCCCAGGAGGAAACCAAGTTTCCCATTCTCAAAACCCAACTCAAGTCACCACGACACCTTTCATGTTGATGTTTTCCTTACACGAGGAATCTACTCAATCTCTTCCAGATCCTAAGTCTTGCTTCTTCATGAGGGTATCTTATTTCCCTCTATTGATTTCCAAAACCTCCAAAAATAAAAGTTACTTCTAATATCCTCTTTTCTCACAACACTCTTCCTCCACACATTGCTTTACCTTCCATGGTCTAACCAAAAATAGAAAAGTTGAAGAAGGAAATACTAGTTTTTGGTATCAATTAAACAAACAGCAACTTAAAATATTATGCAAAAGTTTTTCTGGTTTTGGTGACTCGCACCCTAAAATGTTGGAAGGAGTATCAAAGGATTGGAAAGTGGGGTCCAGTCCAACTGCTGGTGTCTGGGATTTAATGCTCAGACAGAGGCGGGTGGGGGGACCTCTTCCCTGTTTGCAAAGGCAGAAATAATTCTCTGGTAACTCTTCTACGGGGAGGCTCTGCGGATAAGAAACCTCAAGAACGAAACACTTAATTATAACCAAACATGGAGCAAACAAAGAAACAAGAACCGAGTTGGGCTGTTTTATATGAATATGTTTTATATGCCCAGGAAAGGAGATAGCTTCTTCCAAGTTTTGTAAGAGATCAGTGACAAGCTGGAATTTTTCATTTCTGGGCTCAGTGAGAAGTTACATTTACAGAACCAACTTCATTTATGTTTTAAAAGCAAATAAGTTTAGGCTTACCACCCTGGTGAGCTTTGAGGCTGTTAAATGTTCTGGGAGCTTTCATACTGATAGAATTTCATGACTGGGGGAAAATATTAAGTCATTTTCCTAACTCTAATAGTTTCCATCCCTAACCTCAAAAGGGAAGGTAAAAAATGATGAATGGGTGTGATGAGGACGTTGCTCCTGAGCCTTTGTAAGCAGTGCTGTGAGTTCTGCTAGCGGCCGGGACCTGGGGAAGGGTCGACGTTCAGTTTCCTCACTTTTTAACCTTGAACTCCTTTGTGTGACCACTTGTGTATGTCAGGACTTGATACAGCCAGCAGATGTGGAAAAGGGCATTCTTTTATTTTGTATAAGCCACCTAGTTCATATGAGAAAGTAGTATGTTTCCTTAGCACTATAATTCTGATATTTATCAGGTGTCTGGTAGGAGCCAGGCACTTTACAACTATTATTTATAATCCTTATCACTCCCATTACACAGATATGGAAACTGAGGCTGAGGGAATTCAAATGACTTGACCAAAACAATAGAGCTAGAATATGACCGATCCAGGCTTTGGGCAAATTCCTCTCTGACTCCAAAACTTACATTCTTTTCTCATGCAATGTTGTCAAGGAAACTTGCCAGCCTATAGTGAAATAAGCATTTGGTAAAGTATATTTATATTTAAAACACAGAAATGAGGCTGGGTACAGTGGCTTATGCCTGTAATTCCAGCACTTTTGAAGGCCAAGGTGGGCGGATCACTTGAGGTCAGAAGTTTGAGACCAGCCTGGCCAACATGGTGAAACCTTGTCTCTACTAAAATTACAAAAATTAGCTGGGCATGGTGGGGAGGTGCCTGTAATTTCTGCTACTCTGGAGACTGAGGAAGGAGAATCACTTGAACCTAGGAGGCAGAGGTTGTAATGAACTGAGATAGTACCAGTACACTCCAGCCTGAGCTACAGAGTGAGACTTCATCTCAAAAAGAAAAAAAAAAATACAGAAATGAGGCCAGGCGCAGTGGCCTATGCCTGTAATCCCAGCACTTTAGGAGGCAGAGGCAGGAAGATCACTTGAGGCCAGGAGGTCGAGATCACTCTGGACAACAAAGCACAACCTTCCTTCTACAAAATAAAAAATAAAAATAAAAAATGAGAATTTAAGAATTCTATCTG